AGTTAAAGCATATGGAAGAAATGACAAGATAAAAGAGCTGAATAGAAGATTTCAAAGAGCAGCTCAAGAAGACAAAGTCAGTTATTATAATGAAATGTGCAAAGACCTGGAGTTAGAAAACCAAAAGGGAAGAACACGCCTGACATTTTTCAAGCTGAAAGAAATGAAGAAAAAATTCAAGCCTCAGATTTGAAATGGTGAAAAGTTCTATGGGCAAAATACTGAATGATGAGGAAACATCAAAGGAAAATGGAAGGAATACACAGTCACTGTGCCAAAAAGAATTGGTCAATGTTCATCCATTTCAGGAAGTGGTATATGATCAAGAACCAATGGTATTGAAGGAAGAAGTCGAAGCTGCACTGAAGGAATGGACAAAGAACAATTTCCAGGAATTGATGGAATACCCATTGAGATGTTGCAACAAGCTGATGCCATGCTGGAGGCACTCACTCATCTATGCCAAGAAATTTGGAAGACAAATTTTGGCCCACTGGCTGGAAGAGATCCATATTTGTACTCAGTCCAGAGAAAGGTGATCTCCCAGAATGTGGAAATTATTGCATAATATCATTAATATCACATGCAAGTAAAATCTTGCTGAAGATAACCCAAAAATGATTGCAACAATATATTGACAGAGAACTTCTAGAAATGCAAGCTGGATTCAGAAGAGGATGTGGAATGAGGGATATCTTTGCTGATGTCAGATGGATCTTGGCTGAAAACAAAGAATACCAGAAAGATGTTTACTTGTGTTTTATTGACTATGCAAAGGCCTTTGACTATGTGAATCATAACAAATTATGGGGAACATTGAGAAGAATGGGGATTCCAGAACACTTAATTGTGCTCATGAGGAACCTGTACATAGACCAGGAGGCTGTTGTTTGAACAGAACAGGGGGATATTGCATGGTTAAAATTAGTAGGGGAGTGTGTCAGTGTTGTACCATACTTATTCAATCTGTATGCTGAATAAATAATCCAAGAAGCTAGACTATATGAAGAAGAGTGTGGGATCAGGATTGGAGGGAGACTCATTAACAACCTGTGATATTCAAACAACACAACTTTGCTTGCTGAAAGTGAGGATGACTTTAAGTGCTTACTAATGCAGTTTAACGACTACAGTCTGCTATATGGATTACATCTCAACATAAAGAAAATGAAAATCCTCACAACTGGACCCATAAGCAGCATCACGATAAATGGAGAAAAGATTGAAGTTGTCAAAGATTTCATATTACTTGCTTCCACAATCAACACCAACGGAAGCAGCTGTCAGGACATCAGACCATGTATTGCTCTGGATAAATCTGCTGCAAAAGACCTCTTTCAAGTGCTGAAGGGGAAAGATGGCTCTTTGAACCCCTAACCCAAGTCATGGTATTTTCAATCACCTCATATGCATGTGAGAGCTGGACAATGAATAAGGAAGACCAAAGAGTTGATGTTCTTGAGTTGTGGTGTTGGCAAAGAATTCTGAAAGTACCATGGACTGTGAGAAATACAAATCTGTACTGGAAGAAGTACAGCTGGAATGGTCCTTGGAAGCAAGAATGGCCAGACCATCTCACCTACTTTGGTCATGTTGTCAGAAGGGGCCATTCTCTGGAGAAGGATGTCAATGCTTGGTAGAGTGGAGGGTCAGCGAGAAAGGGGAAGGCCCTCAATGAGATGGATTGACAAAGTAGCTGCAATGATGGGCTCAGGTATAGTCAGCATTATGAGGCTGGCAAGACCAGGCAGTGTTTCGTTCTTTTGTACATATGATCGCTATGAGTTGGAGCTTACTCAATGGGCACCTAACAACAAACAACAATATACACAATTATATCATGTGCAAAAATTAGTAGCTTGATTTCTTTCCTTTAAATTTTAATGACTCTTCTTTTGCTTTTTTGCTTATTTGTCCTTGCTAGAAATTCTAGGATTAATGTCGAATAGAAACAGAATTACAAACAAGTCCCCATGCAGGGCACCTCTGACTCAATCCCAACCTCAGGGAAAAATTGTCAGTTTCACCACTAATTGTTTCCAGAGGGCTTCTGGTGTACTAGAAACATTTTAACATAAGGAAGGTGGTTTTCTTCTTTGAGATATTTATGTAGCATTCTATTTTAGCCATTTTAAAATGTAAGATTTGGTTGTTTTTAGTGTATTTGCAGTGTTGTACTGCTATCCAATAGGGAAGGAGCTCTGGTAGCATAGTGCCTAAGGCACTTGACTGCTAACCAGACGGCTGGCAGTTCAAACCCACCAGCCACTCCTCGGAAGGAAGATGGGGCAATCTACTGCCATAGTGATACTGCCTCGGAAACCCAAGGAGGGGTCATTATGAGTTGGGGCCAACTTGACGGCACATAACAACAACAACAACATCTAATAGGGAAGGTCTTTTCTAATCCTAGGTTGCTAAAACAGAAATTTAAAACATGTATTTTTCAAATGATTTTTCTGAACTCATCCAGAAGACAAGTGATTTGTTCCTTTTTTTCTTCTGTTAATATGCTCCATTCAATGACTAATTTTCTGACATTAACCCACCACTGCATGCCTGGGTAGTGGGAGATCTCACATCCTTACGAAGCATTCTCCTTTTTACGTATTTCTGAATCTTGTGTCCTAATATTTTACTTCATATTTTTGCATCTATTTCGAGGAGGATGTTTCAGTTACCTAGCGCCACTCTGACAGGAATATACCACAAATGGGAAGGGCTTAACAAACAGGCGTTTATTCTCTTATAGTTCAGGAGGCTAGAAGTCCGAGTTCCAAGTGCCAGGCTCTAGGGGCTGTGTGAAAGCCCCTTGACCTTGGACTTCAGCTTTGCCTCTTGCTCCTGGCCCACTGAAGCTGGAGGCATCTCTCTTATCAGGCAGCTGCTAGCTATTGAAGCTGACAAACCCAAAGTCGACAAGTGAAAAGGCACAGTCCCCATGTTACCAAACAACATGGCAGGCCATTGATTCAAGTCCATTGAAAGTCCCAGGATTGGCAGAGCATGGCAGGCTGCTGAACGATTTGGCTACATGCAGAGTTCAAGCATGCCATAAACTAGAGACCATTCCCAAAGCTGTTTCTTATGTATAGGAAGCAGACCACATCCCCAAAGGCTACTCAGCTGCTCCAGTAGATTCTGCCATGTAGTTTACTGCCAGTCTCATCATGGGGGCTACTACATCTAGCTGCCCAGCCACTCAACCAGGCCCGGCCAAGTTGACACACAAACTTAACCACCACAGGGTGATTGGTTTGTCATTACAGTCTTGTATTGTCTTATCAGGTTTCTGTATCAAGGTTATAAGGTGGGAAATGTTTCTCCTCTTCTAATCTCTAGAAGTTGTCTGAAATTGATCTTATTTCATCTTAAATTCACTTAAACATGAGCTCTGGTGGTATAGTGCCTAAAGCATCTAACTGCTAACCAGAAGGTTGGCAGTTCAAACCCACCAGCCACTCTTGAAGAAAGACTCGGCAATCTACTTCCATAAAGATTTACTGCCTCAGAAATCCAAAGGGGGTTGCTATGAGTTGGAACTGAGTTGATGGCAGTGAGTTTTGAGTTAAATTCACTGGTAAAGCCTTATTGCCTTATACAAGCATCATGTCCTATTATGTTGCATCAAAACAATCACTTTCAGCACTTCTGCAATAACATTAGAATCCGAGAACTTTTACCCTCTTCCCGACCTTTGTATTAAGAAGCTCTGGTGGTGTAGTGGTTAGGGCATTTTGCTGTTAACCAAAAGGCAGTGGTTCAAACCCACCATCTGCTCTGCTGAAGAAAAATGAGGCAGTCTGCTTCTGTGAAGATTTACTGCCTTGAAAACTCAACAGGAATCGCTGAGTTGGAACTGACTTGATGCCAGTGAGTTTGGTTTGTTTTTTTGCCTCTATTACTATTGTTACACATTTCACTCCAACATATGTTTTAAACCCCAAAAGATAGCTTAGCCTGATTGTTCTTTGAAGAAAATATTTCTCTCACTGCTTTTAAGGTTTTTCTTTGGTCTTTGATTTTCAATAACTTGACTATATGAGGAGTTGAGGTATATTTTTCTCTAAGTATTTCTTACATAGAGTTTGCAGAGTGTCTTAAAAATATGGGTTGGTATCTTTCAACAATTTTAGAAAATTCTTAGCTATTATCTTTTTACATTCTGGGGTAACATTTACATATATACTAGATGTTTTGAGCAAGTTCCGCACATCCCTTACGCTTTTTCTATTTTCCTTTAATTTTCTCCTATACTTCAATTGGGATATTTTTATATTGACTTATCTTCTAGTTCACTAATAACCTCTTCTACTCTGTCTATTTTGTAATACCCATTAAAGACTTATTAATTTCAGTTATGAACATTTTCAGTAACATTTTACATTTGGCTTCTCTAAAATTCAAGTTCTCAAAGGTTTAGTCTATTTTCTCTCTGTTTTTATTTATTTTTTAGACATTTCCATAAGAGTTACCTTAGAGATTTTATCTGCTAACTCTAATCACCAGAGGGTCTACTTCTTTCACACACAAACACACACCCTTTTCTCTTGGTTTTGTTCAGATTATCCTGTCTTTTGAACATGATATGTGGCTTGATTGAGGGTTTCTTTCAGACTCAGTCTACTTCTGATCTGCCCCTGTTTCCAGAGCTTTCCCCACAGGGCTCTCAAGTGATGAGTTTAATTGCTTACTGGGGTCCTTTCTCTAGCAGGTCCTGAAATCTAATCTTTGTCTCTTCAACACCATGAGATTCCAAGAAGCTCTGTTCTGTTTTTCAAAGGTTTTCTGTTTAAAATTTTAGCTAAGTGCAAGTAAAAAAATCAAAACAAAAAAGGAGCAAAGACCATACAAAAGTTTTAGATAAGATATTGAAGTTCAGAAAAAATGATGTGTTTCTAGCTACAATGACAAAGAAAACTTAATGAATAAGGTAGCATTTGAACTGGAACTTAAAGATCAGTACTATTGTGCAGTAAGAAATATTTTATTGCCATTACCTTAAGAGAAAAACTGCATATTGTTCTATATTCATTTCCAGTAGAGCCCAAACTTTTTGAAGAGTGTCTGAAACAACAATATTTTCCTTTGTATCTAAAAAATAGTAATAAATAATAATGATATTAAAACTGTAAGGAAGCCAAAAGATCACTTTGGTCGAAGCCAGCATTTTACACACCAGAAAGCTGAAACTCAAAATTAGGGTGACAGACAAAGTCACTGATTTTATTATCAGCAAAACCATGTTTGAAATATAAAGCTATAAACCCCTAGTGCAGCGCTCTGATCACCATGTGACACTGTTTCCTGTCATTTTCAATTTAAGAATCAGTAAATGTTCTTTGATCTAATGGAAGAAAATCGTCAATGAGCTTATCACTATATTTATAATCACACTAAAAATTCTTCAAGAAATGCCTTATCTCAGAAAAAATGTCCAAAACTCTATCAAAATTTTTCCTGAAGAAATTGGTGAATAGAATCCCACTAAAATTCAACCTACAGCAAATGCATGAGAAGTAGAAATGCTGCTCTAATCCTGATTATAGAAATGATTTTGCAAGGAAAATGCAAATCTGTAGAAAGCACCACAAACTTAACATGTCTGAAACTGATGTTCTTTTTCTAGTTTTTCTTATTTTCTTCATAGTAATTACCTCTACCTGAAATTGGTTACTTAACATATTTTCTTGTCCACTGCCTGCCTACCACCACACACACGTACAATTTATTGGAAGAGAAACTTTGTCTGTCTCATTGGCTTTTACAAGCCCAGAATGTACAACAGTGCTGTGCACACAAGACTAATCTAATAAATGTGTGGCATGAAAGAAATGCAAATACTATTCATACATCAGAAAACTGCTCATGATTTTCAGTTTCTAAAACTCATTGTATGAATATAAATTTTACTACAGCATATATGAAAAAAAATAATGTCATCATATATTTAATCTGATGAATTGAATTTTTCTAATAGAAAACCACCATACAAATTAGGCAACAATCATATTTTTTTCTTTCAGAGAATGATGCAATGTAGATTCTATTTTAACATTTGTGTATCTGCAGTTTTACTGGTTAGATGAACATTTTTATTACGCTTATTAAATTTTTTAAAGAGACACATTTTTTTTTAACAAAATATTTCAATATACCCAAAGAATCCTGTTGATAGCAAGGCTTTTCTTAATAAACTGTCAATAAAAATCACACAACAAAAAATGATTTAATATAATTTTTGCCACTGAAGTATTTTATTTTAAGCTGATAAAATATACCTTAATATTTTATACAGAATATTTTATTTCATATAAATGAGCACATTTGGTTTAATAAATATATGAAAACATGAAAATATATATTCTGCCTTCTAATTGTATGTCAAGGAGCTCTGATGGTGTAGTGGGTAAGGCATTTGGCTGCTAACCAGAAGGTTGGCGGTTCAAACCCACCAGCTGCTCCACGGGAGGAAGATGAGGCAATCTACTTCTGCAAAGATATACAGCTTTGGAAACCCAAGGGGGTTACCTATGAGTCAGAATTGATTTCATGGAGGTAAGGTGATGGGAACTGTATGTCACTAAGGGGGTGCATAGTAAGTAGCTCCTTCATAATTCTTTCATGTTTTTTTGAAAAATGGTTTAGGAATGTAAACAAATCCGTAATTTAACTGAAGCTGACTGCTGAAGCACTCTTCTAGGCACTGGGGACATACAGAGGAAAAGATCAGTTTCCTGTTTTTAAAGAATTCAGAGTAGATTGGGAAAATATGACTGACATTCATTCATTAATTCAATCAGTCCTTTATTCCTTCAGCAAATATTTATTGTGGGCTTCTTTTGCGCCAAGCACTGTGCTAAATTCTGGGAAGAAAAGAGTGAGTATACTGAAATGCTTCTGTCCTCAAGGGATATCTATATATATATAGAAGGGACACAATTAGCCAAGCCATAAAGCAGGGTGACTCTAAAATACTTTTCATTAATACACATGAAACAAATATTTGTCTTTATATAGTGAAGCTCGTGTTATCAGTGTTTGAAAAGCTATACCTGGTATTCTGGCTTTCATTAGTAATCTAACGTAAGTTCCTCTCCACATGGCTTGAATTTTAATTGCTGCTGCTACTTCCTCAGACATTGCTGTTGAATTTTTAACATCTGCCCATTCTCCTGGAAAGGAAAAACAAACAAACTTTAGGTTGAAAGTTAAACTTAATTCCTTACTCAATTTTCTTTGCCTTCAGCTACTAAAGCCCTCCAACATATTAAGTGCCACAGCGATAGACTGTTCATTATATTTAACATTGCCCAATTGATGTCTTTGTGAAAGTAGACACAGACATCTCTTAAATATGAAAGGGAACATTAACATGAAAGAGCAGAAAAGGAAGGTGACTTGGATCAGGGGACCTTCCCAGAATTCTCAAATCACCCTGCAGACATCAGTGACTTTCATATTTATCAATGGAAATAAAACAGGGAAAACCCAGCCTCCCCCCTCTGAAGTACCTGTGACAGGAAACAGAGGCTGAGGATACACAGAAATCCTTGAGCTTCCCAGAGCCTAGTTGGAACTCCACCACCCTCAATGTCAATGCAGACCTGTTCTACTTACACCCACAAAGTCGTGTACACTTTTCTCAAATATATTGCTCTCGTATAGGGCTAGGAATTCCTTGGTTAACTAAATATCTAAAATTCATTAGTACCCAAAGAGGACTCCTCCACGGAAGAATCCAGTAAATCCAAGTCCAAAACCATAGCACGGAACGCAAACTTGAAGTTCAAAGGTGCTTTCACTACTTGAACTTTTTTCATTAAACGCCATAAAGACATATGAAAAACCTGGAAAAGACAAAAATATATTTAGGATTCTTTTTTTCCTAAACCAAGAAATTCCATTACCCGGCCAGAAAAGCTCTGAAAACAAACAAACAAAAATATTAGATACTCTAAAAAATATAAAATATTTCTCAATTTAACAGGAGACTCTTTGTTAAGAGTTAAGAGACCACCAAAATTATTGATCATTTGACTATTTCTAATTAAATAAAACAGTCACTATAGCAATGTTTGGAATATATACTTAATCTAAATGTAACATTAAACTTGCTAAAATGATAGAGAGTAAGATCTAAAACATTATCCTAGTGATTAAGTTAAACACCGTAATTCATTGATTCTAAGATGCTGGCCATTGTAATGCACACTGTCCTAGTTCTCTAATGCTTCTGTAACAGAAATACCACAAGTGGAAGGCTTTAGCAAACAGAAATGTGTTCTCTCACAGTTTAGAAGGCTAGACGTCCAAATTCAGAGCGCTGGCTCGGGAGAAGGCTTTCTATGTGGCTCTTGGTCCTAGGAGGACCCTAGCACACAGACTCTGAGTCCAAAGGATGCCCTCTGCTCCTGACTCCTTCCTGGGGGTAGGTGCTCCTCTCTGCTCTCTTTTCCCTCCTTTTATGTCTTGGAAGACAAAAGGTATCACAGGCCACATCCTAGGGAAGCTCTCCTCACATAAGATCAGGGCTGTGATGGGACTAAGGGTGTTGCATCACACCCTTAATCTTCTTACACCTGATCAGCTCATCACATAAGACCACATTATGGGGTATCATTACATATTTGCTAAACTAGAGAATCACAGCCCAGTCAAGTTGGCACCGATTTTGGGAGACACAATTCAATACATGACACACACCATTATTCTGTGTGCCACAAAAAATAAAAAGAAAATAGGCTGCTTAGCATTATTATCACTTAGGACATTTTGATTCATATTGAAAAAGTTCTTTTAGATTTAGACAGTTTCTTCATCACTTAACTATACATGAAAAAAGTTTGAAAAGTTAATTATGCACAGAGAACTCTGGAGATGAGCTGGCCAGCAGTATTTTAAGACACCATCAATGAGAAACAACCTCTGAATTCATTCTGATGTTAAAGCATGAAAAGAAATAAGCATTGTAGAATTGGTGAAATACAGTATCCTTTAAAGGTATATTCCTATTGCATGACCTGAGCAGTCTACCTTTTCCGTGAACTTCTCATCCCTCTCCATATGTATAGAAACAAGGACATAATCCGAGAGTCTATGTTTATACCTTCCCAACAAGTTGGGAATAATGGACAATCCCATGAGCAAGCACTTAACCCAAGGCGAATCAGCATCCCTCAACTAAGAATTTGCAATTAGAATTAAGAGTGTGCTTAACTGGCCCATATGAGAAAGGGCTGATAAACTCGGGAGCCGTATTTTCTACAATGTAGACTGAGAAGTAGAGAAAGTATGTCTATAAACAAAGAAATAAAAGGAAGATAAAGTTGTAAGGGCCTTTTTAGCTCCTCTTTGTAGTTCCTCAGAGTTATGTATACTCTTAGTTGTCAAGATCACTCCATATCCTCATAATAAATCAACATATTAAAATTTGTTTCCTGTATTTATGCTAATAAAGTGCCCTAAATATTTCAACAGCTAACATAAAAATAAGACAAACATATACAAAGTATAATTACAATAGAAAAATATAGTTCCATTACACACTCAAGTTAAAATCAACACTCAACTATTCTTGCTCATGGAAGAGAGAAATAAGGATGCCTTAATAGTACGGCCCATTTTTAATCATGCCAGCTTGCTTCTTGCCCACCAGCACCAATCTCTTTATTCAATAAATAAAATCATTTTTTAAATTTTAACTTTTCACACTTAGGAAGGATGATCTGCTACAAAATAAGGGCCTTCCAAAATAAAAAAGAAATGACGTGATTTTTATAACATATTAGTTTTTTACAGAATAAGTAACTTTAAAATCTCAGTGGCTCACAAAATGAACATTTATTCTCTCCATCTAGAGTCTGCAGCTGATATCTACTGGGCTTAGATAGAAGCTGTGGGTGGGGTAGCGCCAAGTATATCTTCATTCCTTTTCAACCAGTCACTATCCAAGGTGGGGTATAGTCTTGTCCTGGCAGATCACCCAAGCTCAAGAGCAGACCTCTAAACTGTGCAAGTGCACCCAAGCCTCTGCACATTTCCCATCCACTAACATGCCATTGACCAAAGTACCTCTGTGGCCACACCCAAACGCAAAGGATCAGGAAATACATTTTACCCACCATAAAGTTATAGCAAGAGCATGGAAGTACACTGCCAATAAAAGGAAGGAGTAGGAAAGGAGGACAAAAAACCAATTTAATATGGATAATAAAATGATAGTTTGTTTTTTATTATAAAATACTATTACACAGTATAGCAGTAATGGACCTATGCAGGCCATCAACTGCTCAAATGCAAGTTCAAGTAGAAGCCAAAGACAATTAAAACAAGCCCTAAAGAACAGCAAAAAAAGACCTTGAGTATATCCCACCTGAATTTGGAGACAATCTGAGGAATAGATTTGACGCATTGAACACCAATTGATGGAACACCAGATGAGTTGTGGGATGACATCAAGGACATTATACATGTAGAAAGCAAAAGGTCATTAAAAAGACAAGAAAGGAAGACAAACCAAAGTTGTCTTCTGAAAAGACTCTGAAGTTGCTCCTGAAAAGAGAGTAAAGCGAATGGAAGAAATGATGAAGTAAAAGGGCTGAACAGAAGATTCCAATGGGCAACTCAAAATGGCAAAGTAATGTATTATAATGAAACGTGCAAAGACCTAGAGTGGGAAAATCAAAGGGGAAGAACACACTTGGCATTTCTCAAGCTAAAAGAACTGAAAAAAAAAAATTCAAGCCTTGAGTTGTGATATTGAAGGATTCTCTGGGCAAGAAATTGAACAATGAAGAAAAAGAATTAGGAAGGAATACAGAGTCACTGTACCAAAAAAATCAGTTGATGTCTAATCTTTTCAGGAGGTAGCATATGATCAAGAACCAATGGTGTTGAAGGAAGAAGTCTAAACTGCCTTGAAGGAACTGGAGAAAAACAATGCTCCAAGAATTGATGGAAAACCCACTGAGATCCATTTCAACAAATAGATGCAGCGCTGGTGATGCTCACTTATTTATGCCAAGAAATTTGGAAGACAGCTACCTGGCCAGCTGAGTGGAAGAGATCTATATTTGTGCCCCTTCCAAAGAAAGGTGAACCAACTGAATGGAAATTATTGAACTGTATCATTAATATCACATGAAAGTAAAATTTTGCTGAAGATAGTTCAAAAACAGTAGAAAGATTTACGTCCAGAACACCCAACCCAGGGCGATGCACCCACCTACTCTATGGAGATACATCCCTTGGAGCAATTGGCCATAGGGCACCAGTGGGGCAGCGTTCACATGGAGGGAAAGCTGGACAGACAGGAGTGCACAACTAAGAAGGGCACAGGGTGGGGTGGGGGGGGTCACAGGGAAGGGAGGGGAGGACGGTGGGTTAGGCCTGGGAATGATAATCAGGGAGTGAAACCAAATGTACACAAACTGTTGAATGTAAAACAAATTCTGCTCTTTAAATTTTCACCCAAAGCACAACAACAACAACAAAACTATCTTGCATCAGGACATTGACAGGGAACTGCCAGAAATTCAAGCTTGATTCAGAAGAGGATGTGGAACAAAGGATCTCTTTGTTGATGTCAGATGCATCTTGGCTGAAAGTAAACACTAGAAATATATTTACCTGTGTTTTATGGACTACACAAAGACATTTGACTGTGTGGCTCATCACAAATTATGGATAACGTTGCAAAAAATGAGAATTCCAGAACATTTAATTGTGCTCATGTACATGGATCAAGAGGCAGCCATTCAAACAGAACAAGGGGACACTACATGGTTTAAAGTCTGGAAAGGTGTGTGTCAGGGGTGTATCCTTTCACCATACTTAGTCAATCTGTATGCTGAGCAAATAATTCAAGAAACTGGACTATCTCACGTATTAGCAACCTGTAATACTCAGATGACACAACCTCGCTTGCTGAAAGCAAAGAAGACTTGAACCACTTACTGATGAATATCAGAGACAACAGCCTTCCATATGGATTATACCTCAATATAAAGAAAACAAATTCCTCACAACCAGATCAATAAACAAAACCATGATAAACAGAGAAAAGACTGCAGTTGTCAAGGATTCATTTTACTTGGATCTACAATCAATGCCCATGCAAGAGCAGTCAAGAAAATAGATGAGATATTGCATTGGTCAAATCTGTTCCAAAAGACATCTTTAAGGTGTTAAAGAGCAAACATGTCAATTTGAAGGCTAAGGATGCCTGACTCAAGCCATGGTCTTTTCAATAGCCGCATACGTATGTGAGAGCTGGACAATGAATAAGGAAGACCACAGAAGAATTGATGCATTTGAATTATAGTGTTGGTAAAGAGTACTGAATGTACCAAGGGCTGCTAAAACAATGAACAAATCTGAATGCCTGAATGCTCCTTAGACACAAGAATGCCAGACTTTGTCTCTCATACGGTGGTCACGTTATTAGAAAGGACCAACCACAGGAGAAGCATATTATGTTTGGTAAAGTGAGGGTCAGAGAAAAAGGGGAAGCCCTTCAACAAGATGGATTGACGCAATGACTGCAGCAATAGGATCAAGCATAGCAACTATCGTGAGGAATGCACAGGACTTGGCAGCATTTCATTCTACTTTACACAAGGCCACTATGAATTGGAAGCAACTTGACAGTACCTAAGAACAACAAGCTGTATTTCAAACCCAAGACAAAAATATGATGCTATATGTCCAACAGCTAGAACAGATATAAGCCTTGAAATCAAAGGCTGGAAGTAACACGGGGCTACCTATTCAACATTTCTGGTGACCCATTTGCAGAATTTATGTTTGCTGTCCCCACAACAGCAGATCTCTTGGATTGGAGGACCTAGTTACTAGAGGCAAAAGGCAGGGGCTGCTTCCACCAGAAGACACAGTAAAATTTACAATTAACCTAAAGCTGTGACATATATGTGGCTACATTGGGCTTCTCATCCTGGTAGATAAGGAGGAAAAAAATAATAAAAATAATTATACACACACACACACGTATGTATGTATGTATAAAACTGTGGTAGATGAGAGAGATGTTGAATACCAGTTACGGCCCTAGGTCAGCTGTAGTAATGAGACTACAGGTTTCTTTTCACCCAGAGATTTATTTATTGACATTTTTAAAGCTTATGAAGAGCCATGACCTTGAAGAGTGGACAACAGAGTTTACTTAAAATGAGACATTATCAGAGTGGTGCAAGAGGTGGATCGTGGCAAATACAGGAGCTCTGGTGGCGTAGTGCCTAAGGCATTTGACGGCTAACCAGAAAGCTGGTGGTTCAAACCCACCAGCCACTCCTCGGAAGGAAGACTGGGCAAAC